GCGTGGTGTGGTGAAGGTGAGACCTCTGAGTCAGAGGCTGGGGGTGGAGAGTCAGGGAAGAAGAATGGACGACGGCCTGGGGCGGATAATTTTGACATGAGGATTTCCAGCGTAAAGTCTTGTGGGGGTGGTGGGGTTTGTTTCGCCGACCGTGCTGCTGAATCCTCTGCGGCAGCTTCCTCTGCGGCCTTCTCCTCGTCCTCATCGGACGGCGCCGCGACGTAGCAAAGCCAGTGGTCCCGATTGACGCTTCCAACGGTATACGCCGCTCCGATTCCTCGATGACTCTTCTCGTGACCGGGCCCGAAGAGCTTGTCGAGGAAGGACACTTCTTCCGTCCATTCCCGATGTGGACCTAGTTGTCGTTCCGGAAACATGAAGGACTTCCGGGAATAGAAGAGGCGATGGATCGATAGTAGCAACGGAGGTGGTGCTGCAGCGATGGAGAGGATCTTGGGCAAGCCCAGGAGGTTGAGCGTCGTGCCGCAGGTTTTAAGGATGAGCTTGTGTGGCGAGACGAAGAACGATGATTCGCTATAAGAGACGCATCTTCAGCACAGAAGCTCTTGCAGGCCATGCACGGTAAATGCTCACCTAAGTAAATAGGCGTCCATTTCAACGCCCTCGATGACGCTAAGGACCTTGCACTTGACAATGTCCAGCATCTCCTCCCATACCTCCCTCTTCACCCTTCTCAACCCGCTCCTCTTCACGCTGATCTTCTCATCAACAACATCGTCATCGGCAACAACGTCTTCAGCAGAGGGAGCGAACCAGATCTCAAGGAGCTTCTCGGGACCTTCAAAGGGGGAGACGTTGAGCGCTGCAGCGTCTTCTTGAGGTTCGTCGGAGATGACTTCAGCTTGAGTCATGGCCACCAACAATAACTAATCTGTCAACGTGAGACAGGACCCGTAAAGATCAGAGACGAGATAGCTTCTTTGCGGTGTGGGAGTACTCTCAGTGCCATCCGGAAGCGTTGGGCTCGACTCAGAATGTTTGTTTGTTCATCAATACATCCCATTGCTTCACCACCGTTCACGGTCTAGCCCCTCGCCATCTCTGACTTCGGTGGTGATATTCACAAGTATGCTGGAGCTTTATGGCGTGAAGGCGAAGGTTTGGCCAGCCCCGAAGTGGTTCGATCCGCTCCGCTTTCGAATGGCTTGAAGGGCGAGGCTAGTGACGATCCATGACGTCGTTGGCGTAAGTCTTCCTCTCCAACTGCCCGATATAAAAGAGGGCATACCTGCGTGAAGGAGTTCTTACCAACTTTCTCTTTCTCGTCCAGCTCGATAATTCACTGCAAAAATGTCCAGCACTGATCAATACACCGCCAAGTCCGAGTCGACCAACGACGTCACTCCTCAGCACAAGATTGACGACTTGAATAACATTCTCAAGCAGACGAAATACGCCATGCGTGAGCGTCACTCCATGTATTAGTGTTGTGCATCGAACTGAACGACCGCGACCCATCAGTGACGACCCGGGATGCCCAAGGATGCATGCATTCTCGTTGCATGGCTCTCGCCTCCCGTAGGTTTCCCGTCCTCAACGGTACCTGTTCCTCTCATTTAGATTCTTCCACAGATGATGGTCTCCACTTCTCCTTCATCAGCGACAATACATCCCACAAGCAGGACGAGCTCAACACCGTCGACGACGTGAACGTCTCTTTCCTGGACCCATCCTCCACGAACTGGGTCTCCGTCTGTGGCAAGGCCAGAACTCACCAAGACCGCGAGCAAATCGACAAGCTCTGGAGCTCGACCGCCTCCGCCTGGTTTGGTGACTTGGGCGACGGTGTGCACAAGGGCAACAAGAATGATCCACGGGTGTGCATCATTGAAGTTATTCCGGATTCGGTAAGCTCTTTGTCGCTCCGCTAAACCCGCGTAATGCAACTTACTCAGCAACTCGCCCTACTCCCGTTTAGATTCGATACTGGTGGACCACTAAAAGCAAACTGGGTCAAAATATCGACATAATGGCTTCCGCGGTTACGGGCAAGGTCGCGTCGCCAGGAGAGCTTCGCACAATCACCAAGGATGAGGTACGACACTCCCTTAGCGGCCCCCGCGAAGAGATATTGAACCTTTGTGTCTGATGCAGATTCGAATCATCGAAGGTCTCAACACTATGTAAGCTCGTGGTGGTCCGATGTATGCCTGTAATTTGTTCGAACGTTCCTGTCGTGAATGTGATTCGTTTGATGAATGCTTCTGCCGTTGTGGAACCGTGGAATGCCCTTCATGACTCATTCGAACCCACCCGAGTGCTGTAAAGGCGGTGGCGTCACTGACAGGAAAGGCAATGAGACAAAAGCGGAGAACGAATCTTGAGGTCGCTTCCCAGGCAAAGACCCCGTTTGGACAACAACCCCCGTTATCCCAGCAACCACCACTTCCACAAGAACTGTACATAACTTTTACCCGAGGTTGTCCTTGAAGTTGCCTCCTCCGGCCCGACCTGTATATACCCGCCAGGACCAACGACGATAACCTGAGATGGTGGCTCTGACCGCCCTCTCCTTCCTCACCCAGAAGATCATCCACAGCAAGACGGGTCACGTATTCCTGTTGTACTGTTCGTTGCAAGATGAAACAACGCTCCGATTGGACTTGACTATTGCTGGACCGACTCATTCCGAGAGCCTTCAAGACTTCGACACGCAACTCTTGGGCAGGTGGTGGAGTAACGCGTGGTCAGAGGACGAACTAACGAACATGTTGGTGAGTGCTCCTGGTATCGCTGTCTGCAGTGATTTGGTATTGACAACTATATAGGTGATCGACACGCTAATAGCGGACATCGTTAAAGGAGAACTCCACGTCCGGGGTTGGAGCGAAAGTAAAGCCCGTAAAGAGGATGTTGGGCTCAAGGTAGCCTTGTCATTAACCATGGGCAAGACCACATCGTTGACGACGCCGTCCTTTCCCTTAGCTGGTCGTGAATCCAAAGAGCGACGGTAGTGTCATGCTCCCTCTGCCCGAATGCTCCTCGACAGAAGCGCTGTTGCAACATAAGATCCTTCTGGACGGCGTGAGTGACGTTGCCCGTGAGCGTAAGAAGTATCGACCGAGCTAGCCTTGTCCCAGATAACTGAGAAAGCACGAACTCAAAACTGTCGCATCTTCCCCGAGACCGCACTTGGACTGCGCGAGGACCTGGCCGAGCTCCGTACGTGTCGCACATCCGCCATCCAAACATAACCCCTTTGCCTGAATAATAGCCATAAATTTTCAGAGGCCGAAGTTTCATCCGCCAATCGACAACTCAAGAAACGGGATGTACGTAAAAGGACAAAACGGTCCACCGTACGGTTCGGCTGACGAGGCCCCGCCCCATCTCGTAGAGAGTGATCGACGAGCTCAAAGCGCAACTTGAGACTGCGAATGAGCAGCTGAAGGAGTACGTCCGAGAGACAGCCCCAGCGAGTACGTTCTTCCATGACACCTGGCAAAGATTCGAACGCGCTGGCTGAGTGCCCTCCCTCGTCCGTACTCGCCCACAGGGCCGGCCCATCCGCAGCCCAGGATTCCGCCTAATCACTCGAAAGCGGCGGTTACAAAGAAGAGGAGGCTGGTGCAGAAAGTTGAGTATGAGGATTAGCTTTAAACGGGGGAGAGGATTCATGAAAACATGAAGTGATGGAGTGGAGGGTATGTTGATCCGGAGGAGGGTCGTTTATTCATTTCATCTTTTCAAATCCCCCACTCGAACGCATTTGGCTGTATCCGACGATTACCTGGAGCCTCACGGAACCTTCCTTCGTGAGGAGCAAAATTTCATCTTTTGCAACGTCCCGTGGCATTGTGATACCTTGTACAAATCCAGGCAAGATGGAAAATGCAGTAGAAGTTCTAGAATGATCGCCGTCTTTCGTTCCAACGGGCGAAGAAATCTGCCGACAAGAACGAGCCAACGTCCGGCTTTTTTTTTTCGGACTCAACCGATCTAATTAGGCGCTACACCATCACCAACAGGAGCGTGCCTTCTTGCGCGCACCTTCATGTACAGCCTAGGAGGATCCTACATGTGCCACGATCACTCGAGCAATCACACGAGACATCTTTTGCTCTTTAATCACCGCGTAAGATTTCATGTTATTCGTGGTGTTTTCGTTTCCGATCACGATCCCTATTTCGCAGTCATTTTGATTCCGTCCTTCTTCATTTCTGGAAAGGTTGATTTCCGACTCGCCGGGGCAACGTATTACGTGCCATGACGATACGTTGATTGACATGAGGAACCACATCCAGCACCCGCGGCTACTGTCGAACGGGGATCTTTTCAATGCTCGATTCTTCGAACTCTGGTGGACCTCCTCTTGACGACGCGACGGTCGGATGCGAACGTCAACCCAAGACTGTTACAAGGCCTATTCACCTCTTAGTGGCCAGTCCGACCTCCACATGACACGGGTATAATAGCTTTTTGGTTACTTTAGAGACCGCTTTTGATCGCAGTTAGTGTTAGGAAGTACGTTAGTCGTCCTACCCCCTTCAGCTAGCCTGTCAACCAATGGTTTCCAAAGAAGAGAATTTTCAAGCCACCTTGGAAGAAAAGGATTGACGGTACAAATATATTCCGATTAAGGTGAGTCGAATGTTCAGTTCATTATCCCCGCTCGGGCCACGAAGCATTACCGTTGCACGACAGTTGACGACGGGAGTGAAGTGTCCTGCTAAAACGCAAGTAACAGGCGCCAAGGATGCTATCTCCTAACAACGTCGCTTCGAGAAACCATCTTCTCTTGTGTTGCTTGCAATCGAGCTTGTATAGCGATGGAACTCACGCGGAAGGGCGACCGTTCAAACATGCAAGAGACAGGGGCTAGCAACCAGCTTGTAGTAGGTTTTTGTACCAGTTTCTCTTCAAGGCTTTTAAGAAGTTGACATGGGTTAGTTCATGAATGGAATGGTTAAAAAATTTACGCATGCAAAACAGCGATACCGAAAGTTCCGCTGCCTCGGACGATCGAGGTGCAATATATGGCCGGCGAGGACGGCTCGAACGTCCGGCTTTGCATTATGAGTACAATATGTTTACCCGCTACACCATCGCCGACAAGATATAGCCGCGAAAATAGCGATATTACTCTAATTAGCTATCTTCGATGGAGGGAAGGTGTGGAACTTGGGCGTAGCAGCATTAAAGCCCAGATCGACGGCGTTTGGGGGTATATCGAATAGGCAACTTCTAGGGATGGGTCGACGCATCAAGAGTTGCTCCAAGTATTGGTCAAATGATCGGATAGGCGAAGTGTGAGTCTCCTTCGTGAGGTGCGAAAATCAACCCTTGCAACGTCCCGTGGCATTGTGATTCTGTGTACCAATCCAGGCAAGATGAAAAGGACAGCAAAACTTCCAGAATGATCGCCGCTGTCTTCGAAGAAAGGGGCCGAGAGACTTATCAACAAGGACGAGCCAACGCCTGCCTTTTTTCGCACTTGGTCAATGAAATATCCGTTATACTATCACTGAGAGGAGTGTGCGCCTTTTAAGGGTACCTTCGCGGATCTAGAGGATTTGACATGTGCCATGGACACTCGATCAATCAGATGAGACTTCTTTGCTCTTTGGTCTCGCGTAATATTCCGTTCTTTATCTGGAGTTATAGGTTCCAGAACACAATCCCCGTATTGCGGTCATTGAATTCCGTCCTTCCTCGTTTCTGGAGATGAGGTCGATTTCAAATCCCTGGGGCACGGTCTTGTGTGCTACTGCGCCGCGTTAACCCATACGAAGAATCACATCCAACACCGACGGTTCGAGCCGAACGGCGATATTTTCTATGCTTGGCTCTTCGAACGCACCCACGCGGCGGTCGAATGCGGGCGTTGCCCAGGTAAGACAGATACGATGCATATTCACCTCTTTATGATCAATCCGGCATCCACAAGACACGGAAATCAACCTTTTTCCTTTAGAGACCGCGCTAATCTGGGCTAAGTATCGGGTCATCCATCGTCCGACCACCTTCAACTAGGGCTAGCCTACATACCAAGCAGATTCAAAGACGAGAGTTTTCAGGTCACCCCGGAACAACAGAAAGATATGCCAACTGACGATGCATGTATCCTTCTACTAAGGCGAGTCGAATGTTCAGTTTAGTACTCCCGTTCAGATTATGACATGCTATCCCTCACACCAGTCGAGGCAGGTAGCAGGCGCCACGGATGCAATCTGCTGATAACGTCGCTTCGAAACCCCACTTCATCTGATTTCGCTCGCAATTGGCATGAAGATTGTATAGCAGCGGAACCAAAGAGGGAGGGTGCCCGTTCAAACCTGAAAGAAGGCGGTATCAACCAGATTCTGGCAGGTTTCGCGCCAGCTCCTCTTCGGGCTGTTAACAGTTCGATATCGGTTAGTTTATGAACGGGAAATTTCAAAAACTTAAGCCTTCGCATGCAAAACCTCAACACCAAAGGTGTTGCTCCCTCTGACGATCGACGATCAATATATGCCGGCGAGGACGACTCGAACGTCCGGCTTTGCATTAAAATTGCAAGATGTTTACCCGCTACACCATCTCCGACAGAATCCAGCAGCAAAAATGGCGATATCATTGTGATGGGCCATCAACAAGGGAGGGAAGGTGGCCCAATGCGGAACTTGGG